CAAAGCCATATCATGGAAAATAATAATAGCAATAAAATATAGAAAAAAGAGAGAATTGATAAGAGAATTCATCAAACTCAGAATACAGGGGCTGGCGCCTTGGTGTAGCAGGCTAAGCCTCTTCCTGTGGAGCCAACATCCCATATGGAAGTTGGTTCATATTCTGGCTGGTCCAGTTCAGCTTTAGCTCGCTGCTTATAGCCTGGGAGAGCAGCGGAAAGTGGCTCAAGTCTTTGGGCCTCTGCATCCACATGGGAGATCTTGAAGAAGCGCCTGGCTTCAGAACTAGCTCATGGAAGATTTCTCTCTCTCTCACTATGCCTTTCGAATAAAAACAAAACGGATAATATATTACTCAGTCATAAAAAAGAATGACATTTCCAACGATATGGGGGGAGCTGGAGATCAGTGCACTGATAAGCTAGACTGAGAAAGATAAATCTCACTTGTTTTCTCTTATTTATGGAATTTGCATAGATTTATTAAAGTTGTGTGGATGTCACAAAAACTGAACCACGGTAAAAAAAAATACTGCCTCAACTACATCATGTACATGATAATATATCCTTTATTGTCATGAATTACTCATTCTGTGATATTAACATCATTGAGTTTAAAAAATAGCATGGATGCATATAATATCTATATGGAAATAAAATGGCAAAATGTTAAATATGGTTAAATCTTACATTAAAAAAGAAAAATCCATGTTTATTTTTTATCTAAATGTGTGGTTAGATGTAAGAGTCTGGGTCTTAGGGATGAATGGAGGTGGAGATAGAAAATCGGGCGTTCGCAGACATGAACGCTACCTCTAGCTTGGAGATGTATGGTCAAGAGGGGTATGAGCATAAAGAGAGAAGAGAAACAATAGGACGAATGCAGAGTTGTGCCAACACTTAGTGGTTGGGAGGAGATGGCGCAGGTGACAGGGAAGATGGAGAGACTTGCTGGAAAGTGGATTGAAAGCAAAGAGAATATGGCAGCCCAGAAAGCAAGCAAAGGAAGTCTTTTAAACAGAGCAATAAGCCGCTGAAAAGCTTCTGAGAGGGCAAGATGAAGACTGACAAGCAGCCATTGGGTTTGGCAAGGCAAGAGCTTTTCCCCTTGGAGCTCACAACACAGCGAGACGAATCCGTTGTTATCCAGGGGCACAGTGAGTGAATTCCTGGAGATAGATGGGAGATGGAGCAGGGAGTTCTGCTTGGGGTGACAAGAAAAACTACAGGGGAGACACATATTTTGTGTTCTGGAGGTGGATGGAGGGGTTAAAAGCTTGAAGCTTAACATATTTTTCCTAGCTGGTTATTGGATTTCCTGCCACCATTCATGCAGAATGAATATTTCTCCTCACAAGTTAGCATCTCACAGTAATACTCCACGAGCAGACATTGGCATTCGTCGGTTACCAACATTCCCAGAGCAAGGCCCACCACATCCTACTCTTAGTGAGTTCTGTTTTTCCTCGTTGTAGTCTTGGTCTTTTAATTACCTGTTGATTTCTTCTCTTAGCTGTATGCAAATACAAATTTTAATACTGATAGCCACCAGGCACCCAACACTTCTTACACATGAGGCACTGCTTATTTTATTCTTGCAAACAGTTCTACCGTTATTGGCCTCGTTTTTCCTTTGATAACAAAGGCACAGAGGGATGAAGTAATTTGCTGCAGGCCACAGAATAAATGACAGAGGCAGGGTGAAAGCTGTGCCAGTCGGCTTCAGAACTGACCACCTTGAGCAGAACACTGAACTTCCGTCCTTACTCACACATCTCCACTTTCTCAGGATCGGAGGTTTTACTGACAAATCTTAGCTCTCTTGAAATCATGGCTTTCTATAAAGTCAGTAACAATTGTGGGTTGTCAGTTTTGGTTGGACTAAGAGAGCCCAGGGCCTGAATGATATATCCAGATGGGGAAGAAGGCATTTTGTTCCTTTATAGAGGATGGTAATTCTCACACAATCACGTGAGGAGTCTGTCCAACCAGATCATCTATGAGAAGGTTGGTGGGTAAAAGGTGCTGGAAGCTGTGATGGAGGGTATCACTCTGCTGATAGAAATGACCTCTTCATTATGGTCATTTCCTATTAGAAAAAAACTTTGAAACTTAAAAAAAAACTGTATGAGAGAGAGAAGAGGTGGGGGAAGGGAGAGGAGGGGATATTATATTCCCTGATTCACTTTCCAAATGCTTGGAATGGTGGATTCTGCGCCAGATCCAGGGTCTCAACCCAGGTCCTTCATGTAGATGGCAGAGACCCGGTCACCTGGGCCATCAGCACTACCTCACAGGGTACGCACTAGCAGGAAGCTGGAATCAGAAGCTGAACAGAGTATTAAACCCAGGAACTCTGAGGTGGGACATGCACATCTTAACTGTTAGGCTCCATGATGGTTCTGCATATGATATGATGTGTACTTAACAGTGAGCGATGCCGATCAAAGCAACCACTTTTAGAAGTGCCTGCTATGTGTTGCTCTGGTTACAGTAGCAGCCAGTTTTGAGAGCTAAAGCAACGCATTTGGTGGGTGTTTGGCCTAGTGATTAAGACACTGATTGGGACGACCTGGGTCTGGTCCCCGACTCCTGCTCCTGATGGCAGTTTCCTGATAATCCTGATCCAGGAGGCAGCTGGTTGGTGATGCCTCAACTTGTTGGGTTCTTGTCCCCACATGGGAGATCTGAACTGACTCCAGTTTCAGCTCAGTGAAACATTCGGGGGATGAACCAGTGGGCAGGGCTCTCACTCTCTAATAGTCTCTACATAAAATAATATGTAGCTGATAGCTTCAAGATTCTTCATTATTCAAACAATATATTAGGCCCGCTATGATGGCTAAATCCTCACCTTGCACTCATCGGATTCCCATATGGGCACCAGTTTGTGTCCTGGGTGTTCCACTTCCCTTCCAGATCCATACTTTTGGCCTGGGGAAGCAGTCAAGCATGGCATACAGCCTTGGGACCCTGCATCAACATGGGAGACCCCCTGGAGAAAGCGCCTGGCTTCGGATTGGCTAGTGCTAGCCATTGCGGCTACTTGGGGGAATGAACCAGTGGACAGAAGGTCTTTGTGTTTTTCCTTCTGTCTGTAAATCTGCTTTGCCAATAAAAATAAATAAATACATCTTTAAAATGTAATAAATGAATTTGATCGTTGAGGAACCTCTCTGTGGTTCTACCTTTGTGTGACCCCTACTGTGTGACAGACCTACTCTGCGTGTAAAGATGTTCCTCCCCCCCCTTCTTTCTGATAGCACATGGTGACTGCTTCTCACTCAACAGGTAGGAGGTGGTACCTAGGATTTTCATAAGCCTCTGAGGCCGCTCTCGTGAGTAGATTTTGGATTCCACCTTTGAACTAAAAGTTGATGAAGTTAAAGTATTAGCCACTTCCCCTTTCCTTGCAGGAACAAGGCGGCGGGATAAAACTGACTAAGATGTTTGCAGGACAGGAATCTAAGCGAATTCTGTAAAGGCACAGAGAAAAGAACTTTATAATTAGCTTTCTTTCCACCGGTTCTCTCTTTTTTTTCCCCCTTGTTCTCATTCAAATGTTACTTTCTGGGCATAGTCATTACATCTCAGAAAAGCTTAAGGGGGTCAGCATTGAAAATGCGCTGTCCTGTACAGACCCCCTGCCCCACCCCCGCTTTGCTGTGAAATGGACACTCTGTTTTCCCTGTGGTTTTCTCTGTCACAAGTCACATAAATGTGGGAGGAAGTCAGGGGTGGGAGGGAACTTGGGAAATGTCCGGCTCTGGAAAAAAAAAGCCACTTGCTATTGGTAGGAAAACTTGAGATGGTCACAGAGCAAGGACACACTGCGTCTCCGGGGACCATTGCTCTTGTGCTAATTCTGACTCAGAACCAACTACAAAGAAAGAAGGGAAATGCTTCCCTTACAACATGCTAGCTCTCTGATAACTCACTTTTTATAACACTGCAGTGGTTGCAAGCTTGAAGACTTTGGGAGTTTCAGTCTGAGAAACTTAGTAAGATTTGTTTGGAAATTCTGAGAAAAAGTGGAAGATTTTAGATATCTCACAGACAGGAATGCCTACAAACTCTAGCCCACCCCCCAAATCTAGTGACTAGCCGGTTTTAACGATCATGCTTCAAAATCTTTTATGCTTAGTTTTGTCTGTCTTGAACAGATTTTAAAGCAGACCAGGTTTTATTTGCACTTTTACTTTAGAGAACATTTTAATTAAATTGTTTTTTTTTTTTAAATCCCAGGTACACATTGTCTAATAGATTTAAAAGCTTTAATTAAAAATATCACTCCCTCCCTTGGACCTCCTCTGCATCTCCAAGAAAATGAAAGTACGGTGTGTTGCAGCACCAGCGTTTGGGGAGAAATGAGGGTTTTATTTGTAATTCTTAGCACTTTCAGTTATTCTAGCACGGGCAGAAGAAATGAGAACTGGCAAAAAAAACCCCTCCTTTGCCCAGTTGTATGTCCAATACGGACTTTTTGCAATTACGCTACATTTGAAAAAGTGAGCAATACAACGTCGGTGACCCTTCAGCCAGATGCTGAACCAAATCTCTGGACCCTCCTTTAGGAAGGCAGTTGGAAGATTTTTTTCCCCCAGGGTTTGCCATTTGCTTTAAGGTGTTGAAATACGGATTGATGCACAAACTGCTCTCTCAACAGTTGCCCAAGTCATTGCTTGAGTGAGGGCACTTCACATGGTCACGAAGAATAGAACGAAACATGCGTTTACTGCGGAGCTAAAACTTTTGAAATGCACACATGGTTTTCTCATACCACGTCTCCTCTGCAAAGTTTTGAGTAGGACACCTATGCGCAGATTTAAAACAGTTGACACCACAAAGTCTCTTTATCCTGTAAAGTGAGCCACCTGACACCTCCCAGGCCCGCACCTAACCGACGTTAGCGTTGAGCCAGGTCTTTGTGAACTGGGGTCTCTCCTCGCCCCTCCCACCCGGTTTATCCTGACGCAGCTTGCGGCGCCCCCTCTTTCTTACCTGCATAGTGGTCAAACACGGTGGGCACGTACTCCTCGGGGAAGGCGTCGTTGGCGTAGCTCATGAGCAGGCAGGTTTTGCCCACAGCCCCGTCCCCGACCACCACACACTTGAGCATCTTCTTCTCGCCCAGGTCCCCACAGCCGCAGCTGCTGTCCTTCCCCTCTCGGCAGTTCATGCTCGCGGCTCCAGAGGCTGGGACTCGTGCTGGCTGCTCCTCCTGCGGCTCCCAGGGCACATGAAGCGGCGGGAAGCTGGAGTTCACTCCGCCTCACTCGGGGTTCCCTGGATCATCCAGACACGTCGCGGAGGCTGGGGTGCGCGCTGCTGCTTCCCATGCTGGTCCAGAAAGGACACACACACACACACACACACACACACACACACACACACACTCGGGGAGGAATGCTGCGAAGAGTTTGTCTTTTTTTTCTTCTCGGTTTAAGCAATTCTCACTTCCAGAGTCCCGGGGGGAAGGCTTCCTGGCAGTCTAGAAATTTCAGCAGCCTGAAGGTTTCGCTCTGCTCTGCTCCTCTGCAGCCTGGCTGGAACTTGGCTAAATCCTCCCCGTTTTCCACTTCACATCTAACATGGAGGAAAGCTGGGCTCTTTCATGGAGTGGTTTTTTTTTTTTTTTCCTCCCTTGCTTCCTCCAGCTTGCTGAGTATCAGGAAATCATGGGTTTCCTGCTGCATTCCATATTAGGATCAGTGGGCAGGAGAAGGTTGCAACAATGGGAGCTGTGTGTGTGTGTGTGTGTGTGTGTGTGTGTGTGTGTGTGTGTGTGCTTGTGGGGAACCATGCCAGGACAACCATGCTTCCACTGCTGGCGCAAGCTGTCAGGCTTCCTGTCCCATCGCTGTTAGGGAGCTTGCTCATTCCCGGCTGGCTGGAGTCCTGTCTGCCCCAGAAGCACGGGGACCGGCTGGAGCCAGCTCCGAGAAACCACAGCAGCAGTTGTAGGATAACATATGACGTCGTTCCTCAGTGAGTCACCGGTGGGGAGCTCTCATATTGGAAACGGGACAGTGAAGCGAGAAACCGCGCTGATCTTCACTGCGGTCCACAGACAAACCCTCCAGGGTGTAACGCCGGAGTACTTCCACAGGTTTGTGGAAAACCGACTCAAAGGTTGTTCACTTTGGTGCCAAACGTTTTGCAACCTATATACAAGCCATGGGAAATTTATATGTGGATTTCAAAGTTTTTCAGTTGCATTTTCCATGAAATTTTCAAAGGACTTGTGCGTGTGTGTGTGTGTGTGTGTGAGAGAGAGAGAGAGAGAGAGAGAGAGAGAGATTTATAAGCTGATCCATTGGAGTGTAACACCCAAATATGTATTCCAGACACAAACACTCTCTCGGTTGTATTACATAAATCAGATGTGGAAAGTTTGCATTTTCTTTTGAGGAAATAGACACGCATTTGCCTGGATTCTGCCTCATATCCTTGGACTTGAGGGTGAAGGTGACTTTTTGGCTTGTCTAAGATTCTGATGCTAATATTACCTGCACGTTTCCTTTTTTTGTTTAGTCCTGTCCCCATGGGCCACCCTGGTCCCTTTTTATTACCAAAGAGCTGTTAATTTATTTGTTAGTTTGGCCACTCTAAGCGAAACTCTGTGTTTGATAAATGCTCTTGTTCTCGGAAAATAAGCATAACTCCGCAAATCAGTACGACAAGTGCGTCAAAATGGGAGAGTTCGTTCTTTGAGAGTTTTGAACACTGATTTTGAAGAATTCAAATCACCCAATCACTTGCTTTTGTTTGCTTTTGGGTGGAGGAGTTGGGGAGAGAAAGCTTTTAGTTGGTAGCTCTCAAGAGAATAAGGCAGACGTTGTGGTGCAGTGGACAACGCTCTCACTTAGGCTGTTTCCATCCCACATGGAGTACTGAGCTCCAGTTCTCTGTTTCTCATCTACTTCTTGCTGTTGCATCCTAGAAGGCAGCAGGTTCAAATATCGGAACCCCTGCCGTCTACAAAGCAGTCTTGGATGGAGTTCCTGTCTCCTGGCTTTGACCTGGCCCCGCCCTGGCCATTGTAGTCATTTGAGAAATGAACCAGCAGATGGAAGATCTCTCTCTTTCGTTCTCTTCTCTGATCTCGAGAGTAGTTGAAAATAAACAAATGTCCAAAAAGAGTAGAAGGGGTCTTACAAAAGCTTATGGATAATTCACATTGTGAAGAAAGTATGCATGGGTTTCAAAAATTATTTTTACCTGGAATAAATATCATCGAGTCCCATTTTCCATGGACTTTCTGAAGAGCCTTCATGTTTATTCCCATGTATCACACATGACAGTAGAGAATAGATGCAGTCTCATCTTTGTTCTGTTTTTGATTTTAGTAACATTTGCCGTAGTGATTAGAGTCCTGATACTTATTTCTTGCGAAGGGTGGTGGTGTTTGAGTCAGGCTGTGATGTATCAACTAAGGTGTGCTGCAGTTGACAAGCAACCCGGAGAGAGAGAGAAACAGAAAGAGAGAGAGAGAATAAAAGACATAGAGGTAGGCATATACAGAGATCATCTAACTGCTGATTCACTCTCTGACAGCTGCAACAGCCAGGTCTGGGCCAGGCCCATGCAGGATCACAGAACTCAATGTGAATCTCCCAAGTGGGTAGCAGGGACCCGACTCTCTGAGCCAATACCTGCCTATAACTAGGGGGTGCATTAGAAGCAAGTTGGATTGGCCGTAGAATCAAGATTTGAGCCCAGGCATTCTGATACAAAACTGTTGGCATTCCAGGCAGTGTCTCAACCACTGCACCAAACACAGGCCTTGAATTAATCTTTTTCACCATTAAAAGACTGATCTGCACTTGAATAACAACATCTTAAAAAATGAAAGGAGAGTTCAGTGTTTTACCTTTAGGGCTGTGACGCAACAGACTTGTGCTTGTTTGCCCAGGTGGAATGGTCAGAATATATTTTAATTCCAAAAATTTAGAGAGATGCATTTGCAAGTGGCATGGAGACTATTATCTAATGTATGTCCTTACCTGATGCTCATGCTTTTGAATCTGGATCTATAAAAGTGACTGTGTAGTGGTTACATAGCCATTAATTACTTGATTTACCTTAAGCTCCACATTTATACAAACTTACAGCATTGTGTTAAATCTTGCTGGGTGGTATTTTTTGCTTTTCATAAGAAGTCTTAATTTCTTCCATCCTTCTTGTTTCCTGAGCTTTGGCTTTACATGATTTTCCCTAAGTGCCAGCAGGGCATTTTTGCATGAAATTTTGATTTTTCTGTTTTTAATTTTATTATGCCTATGCCCAGAGTTTCTTCCTAACTTTCATTTTGTCTTTTGTACTTCATACTAGTGGTTGCAACTGAAAGTAATGCAATTGTATCGTATGTTTGAGATTTCTGGTTCTGGATTGGTCCCCACGTAGGAATCCAGATGGGACACCTCTGTCTTTTGACTCCAGTCTTAAGAATGTGGGATGGGTTGCCAACAATTCCAGAATGCCCAGCCTAGTCACGACTCTTCCATTCCAGAGAAAACCATCTCTGGGGTAAAGAGAAGTCAGGTGTCTGAGCAGTGTTTGAGGGTGTGTATGTGTGCGTGTGTGTGTGTGTGTGTAGGTGATAAATGTAGGTCTGTCAGTTCTGATCCAAATCTCTTACTGAGCCAAAACCTCAAGATCAGTTGGAGTATGGGTAAAGCTGAACAGGTTGTACAAAGACTGGCCTGGACTGGTCATTACCTGCATTTATTGTCCATGACCTACATCATATCACAACATATATCTCACATCATATTGTCTGGTAGGGTAAGCATCGTAGCGTCACCACTACAGGCTGGACTTCGGTAGCTCTGAGTCATGTCATAGTCTGTTGTCTTTCTTTATGTATGGGATGGATTGGGAGCCTCAGGAAGATTGGTGGAAGTTTCTCACTTTGCTGGAAAGACAGGTCAACAGGCAAGCTACTTCGACGATCCTGATAGCATCAAAAGTCTGTAAACAAGTCATACATTCGCCGAGGACTCTGTTGTATGGAAGGAGGTACTTTAGTCCCTGACTTCACAAAAATAAAAGTCCTTCTGAGGACCCTCAGGTTACTAACTTCCTGTTTGCTGGTGAAATACTAACTCCGAAGGGAAATAGAATTCTACTCTTGGACTGTGTATGACCAGACTTCCTGAACAGCTCATTTGCCAATTAATGTGTTTCAAGGAATCACCTGCATCACAAGAAAGAGAATTATAAAGACCTCCAAGATTTAAATAAGTCCATAGCTTCAATTTTAGATGCAGTGCTTATGCGTGAGAGGGGCTGGGAGTAATGATCTAGGAACCATCCCTACATGGGAGAAGTGAACGAAAGAGAAAGGAAACACCATCCAACCCATTTATCAACTTGCCTCGGACAAAAGACGGAAGAGGTTCAAGGCTCCATTGACTTGGAACCCTCGTTGCCACAGACAGAGGGTAGAAGAGTTACTATGTGAAAGAAATTCAAAATGAAATGTAAAAATCAGTTTATTTTGAAACTCAACCACAGAGGGGTCTCCAGAAAGTTTATGGAAAACACATAAGAGAACTATGCATGAATTTCAAATTTGTTTTGCAAATGAAATAATCTTTCAATTCAATCTTCTATGAATTTTTAAAAATTCTTCATGCCAAGGCTTCAGGTTAAGTGCCCTTTCATGCTCCCTCCCTGTCACCCATTGAAAAGGCACTCCTGTCATTGTCAAGATGGAGAATTCCTGAAATGTGTTTATTTTCAAGACAAAAAAATTTATAAAATTTCCTTTTTTGTTATTTTCCTATTCACTATTGTGTTGATCTATGAAAAGCACTGTGGGAACTTTAACAATGTTAAATAGTGACTTTAAACATTTGATTCTATTGTTTTTGTCCATTTTATACTTGGAGATTACTTCATATTTTATATAATTTTTCAGGCAATTAAAAAATTATAATGGGTATTGTGAGATATGTGTCTCTTTTGTCTATTCTGGATTCTGAAGGTGACACTTTTTACTTCAACTTTGTATTGACTTTATTATGAAAGGCAATGGGCTTAAAAATAGCTTGGTTTTAGGAAATTTTACATATGCTTTTTATCCAACCTTTATTTCATCCTCCCATATAAAAGTGCTCATGTTTATAAAACTTTCAGGCTTAATTCCACTGACAGTAAAACCCAAGTAATGGCATTTATGTGTAAATG